GGGGGGAGAAATGAACCAAGCCTTGTATGCACATATGAATAATAAAAGAAAAATGAAAAAAAAAGAAGGGAAGAGAGTTCTAAGTTTACCACACTTGCTCTGTCTGACCACGTGATACCCTCTGCCCTATTATAATGCAGCAAGAAGGCTCTTATCAGCCAAGCAGATGCCAGTACCATGTTCTTGAATTTCCCTGCCTCCAGAACAGTAAGCCAAATCTATTTCTATTCTTTATAAGCTATCCAGTCTTGGGTTCTTTTGTTCTCACAAGAGAAAATGGATTAATACACTTCTATAACTCTGATGTAGCACCTGTTTTTGTGGCAGGTTACATCCTAGGTATTGGGGATTCAGTGGTAAATAAGACACAGTCTTTGCCCTTATGGAAGTCATAGCCTGGTGGGGGAGATGGGTGTGGAAGGAGCCAGTTATACCATGGTATAATAGATGTTATGCTGTAAAGAAGCACCAAGTGTTGTGGGAGCTCTCAGTAAGGGATGCCTAAATCAGCCTGGGGCAGAACAATCAGAGAAAAGTTTTCAGAGGAAGTTGTGCTTGGAGCTGTGTTGGGGTGTGAAGATTTGTGTGTAGTGGGTGGGAGTAGAAAAGGTAATTCCAGTCAGATGAAAAGGCATAAAACGCCATGGCACATTCTGGGAACTAGAATTTATTTAGTGTACTTGGGATACGTTATGTGTAGGAAGAGATGGAAGACAACAATGAGAGGCAGAGCAGATAATGAAGGCCTTTAGAAGCCACATGTAAACAGTCTGGAGTTACCCCATAGACAGGTGGAAGCTACTGAGGGCTTTAAGAGGAGGAAGGTGGGAGGTAACATGTATTTTTCATCTCGTAAGGCAAAAGGAGGTAACCTTACAGTTTATCTGCTACAAATGCAAATTCTCTGATCCCCAATTTTGCATTGTGCTTGGTGGGTACAATTCCCCCATCTATAAACCTACCAGACAGATAAAGGGCCTTGTCCACCATGTACTCCTCAGCAAAGCGAATGTGACAGAAGTTCTTTTTGCTCTTCCGGATAGCAATTATCTCTCCACACTGTTCAAATACTTCCACAATGATTTGCTCTGTCCCATTTTCAGGCAGGCCGCCCACAAATACAGTTTTGCATCCTGGTGGTCTTTCTCGGGTTGCAGGAGGTGGGAGATCTAAGTGTAAGGGCAAAAGCATTTCAAATTAAAATGATTGCCTGGGACAAACCTTCTAGAAACCTAACATTTCTCAGAGATAGCTTTTGTAGCCAACAAACTTTGGTCTCCATGTTGCTCATCTGTGCTCCACAGAAAATTGATTTCATGAGGCTGATAATCATTTTAATCAAAGGTTTGGTGACCATGATGTCTAGAAGATAAAGACCCAGGCCTATTTGTCCCATCTAACAGTCTATAGTTTTGTTCTTTACCTTTGCTGTGATAAGATAGCTAGGCCAGATCTTTAGTTATTTTTATTAAAAAGACAGTGGGGGGAAATCTTATTGTTTAAGTTCTTGTTTTCAGGAATTCTCAGAACCAGGGTCCCTGAGAGAGGGTTTAATTCAGATTGTAGTTACTATATTCTTTTCGTCTGCTTACTAAAAGAGCTGTTTCATGATCAATTTGTCAATTGTAGGGAGAATATTTGCAAAAGTGTTTACAGTTGTCAGAATGATTTGGTTAAATAGACCAGAGTACAAACTATCTCTTTTATATTTTGGGGTTTTTTTTTTATACAAGTGAGCTCTTTCTCAAATTCCTTGTTGGAGAGGTGGGATCCAAAGCTAATCTAGTAGCATTTAGAGGGATGTATGAAAGACAGCAAAGAGATTAAGCTCATCTGGGAAATCATTAACTAAAGTGAGATAAATTTGGCCATAGAGAGTCATTAAAAACCTACTTAATGAGAAAATTCCCTCTGCTTAAAGATATGATTTCTACTCACTCATATATAAAGCCTGTTGTATCTGCTAGCTCCTTGTCACTATTTATATGTACCCAAGAATTATCTAAGCAAAATTGTACAGTTCGTAGCCCAACAAAACAAAGCATGATACTCATTTTTTTTAGCATTGGTTTTATATCTGCAAGGATTAATTTTGTGTAATCCATTCTTCCCCTTCAGCTCTTAACAATTCTCCCAGCTCAAGATTTGGAGAGCTCAACAACCAGTGATTATAGCTCACATACAAAAATAAATGAGTCTCTCTCATAGATTAGGCCAAGGCCCCTGCCTGACTCTTATCCAAGTTGGCAAGCCATTGATTTGGGAGCTTTTTGCTTTCTTGCTTCACTACTGCTATCTGTCCTATTGGGGTGGCTAAGAATAATTAGTTTCTTAGGATGCCCTCTATTTAGTGAATAAAAGGAGTATGGTGACTTAGAGAACTTGTAAACTTTGTAAAATTTAAAGTCTGTAATTTTAAGAGCTCACTATGCTGGGCTTTTTGTTTCACATGAGAAGTGTAGAGAAAAACAGAGAATTATCAAGTGAGGAGGAATCTGAAATGTCTTAGTTATAGTTACTAAGTGATGTTGTAGTTTTGACCAAAAGGAAACAATGAGATCTGGAGTCACTTAAGACTTATGTTTTTGAGTGTCTAAGAACAGGAAAGAATTCTAGCCATAACACTTCAAGTTATTATTAACTCTTGCATGTTAGAAGCAACTTGGGAGTAACAATGTCTGGGCCCAACAGTCTTATTTAATTAGTTTAGGATGCAGCCTGTGCATTAGATTTTCAGCTTTTTGAGCAGTTCTAATATGAAGCTAGAGTTGAAAAGCACTGACTTAGTCTAAATCTCAGATATTATAGAGGAAAAGGCTTGGCTAATGAAGTTGTGTTTCATTTAAGGACACCACAGTAGATAAAAAACATAAACTTGGAGTAGGTGAACCTGGATTTAAATCTTAACTTAATTATTCAACTTCTGTATGACATTGGTAATATTACATAACATCTGAGAACCTTTTTTTCACCTTTAAAATAGGGACACTAGGGTGCCACCCACCGCCCTGCCAGGCTGTCACCCGCTGCACTGCCAAGCTGTCGCCCGCCCCGCAGGCCACCAGCTCCAAACGTGCTTGGGAGAACTTCAGCAGATCAAACAGAATACTTTCTTGCTGGAGCCACACTTAGCAAAAAAAGCCCAAAAAAACAAAAAGAAGAAACAAAACTCCAAAACCCTGAACCCCCAGCCTGTAAAAAGCTTCTCCACGTCATGTTACACTGAGAAAACAGGAGGGCTCCAGCACCGCCAGATGCCGGCTCCAAACCTGCTTGGGAGACCCAGACCAACAGGTGAGCAAATAAGCAGAAAAACAGCACTGGATGCTAAAGGAGTAACACCAGAACTACCAAGACTAAAATTCTACTGTTCCTGAACCGGGAATTTTTTTTTCTTTTCTTTAAGTGTTTGCTTGTCTTGTTTGCTGTTTGATTGTCCACCATCTCTCCTTGTTGATTTCTTTGGTTCTCGATTTTTACTTCTTTCTTTTTCTTTTTTATCTTTCTTTCTTGGTTTTGTTAGTTTTACTATTGTAAGTTAGCTAATACTAAATTACACATAGACCAGGGACAGAAACAGTACCAAGTGGAATGATGGG